AGAACTTTCCGGACAACCTAATATCTTGAACTAGCAATTGGAAACATACGCGAAATGTATAGCAAAGAAGCCTACACCCGCTCCCTCCCAAGCTGAACGGGCCGCCTGCCAGTCTATAAAAAATTTCTTTTTTCAAATGTGAAGCTCCTAAAAGATTAAGGCTTACTATGAGTGTGGCATAGAAATGGATTGAATAGTAGCTATTTGGCGATTATCCGCAACAAGGAAGGAGAATGAATCGATAAGTTCTATTGTGATGAGGTCAAAACTAGTCTGGGGTCAAGATTTCAGCCCCAAATACACTTACTTAGATTTTCGCTAAGCACGATCCGCTACCCTCTGCAATAATACGACCCCTCTGCTGGGGATTCCCTAACGCACGGTTTGCCCTGCCCCGACGATACACTTGTCCTCTGAAACGTGATTGTTATCTTGAAGGCTTCTCTGCGCTTGAGGGATACCTAACATTCCATAGCATTCCTTCAAAGGTTCAACGAAGACGTCTGACCATCGCGTAGAGGGTCGTCCACGTGTTCATTCGAGACCTCATGGGATCCAATGGAGGGAGACGGACAAGAGAATCGGAACTTGCCGCGTCGTCGCTCGCGGCACATCGCGCGACAGTGCACGGCAGCTTATAGATGTGTGCCAGTTCGTCGACTGAAGCATTGAATCTCATGTGAAATTAAGCGTAGGCAAGACTCCATGCCGATGGTATCGGCTCTCTCTTCGATATTCGAGTAGAAAATGCCAGGCAGGATAACTCGTCTCGCTGGAGCGACGTCGCTGGCCACGCCCACCAGTGCGGCGTATTATGGTCCTGTGGTCAATACTCTCCAATAGATAACCGTGCCTATGTGTAGGAAACCTTACAACGCCTGATCAATCACACCGTCCGTCTCACTTGTTCCGGAAAGAATGAACTTTTTCTGAAATTCTCAAATGGGTGAGAGTGTGATGAAGTGACGTCATAGAACGTCATAAAATTGCACCGATGACGTCAGTAGCTTGTTTATTTACATAATTGCGTATTGTCAAATGAGCAAAGAAGAGCAGAGAGCTGGTAATTAGAAGACGATAAGGGCTCAAAATAGAATAATGGCCGCAACTCATAATAAAAGTTTTTAGACCCAAAAGGACCAAAGATCTCTCGATAATTGCCTATATCCAAATTCCTGGCCCTATTTACTGCATGCTGATCCACTACTCAAAATTCATGGGAGATTTAGATCGTAAGGCTTCCCACTTGGTAGATCTAGGTCCCCGGTAAGTTCGAATTGTAGCACGAGTATATAACACGAGTATCATAATCGTCTGGGGCGAGAACGCCTGGCGCCACCCCACAGGCGCCAAAGCCAAGGCCTCTCAAACCACCCAGTTTGGTGAGAGTTTACATTCAAGGGTAATTTGACCACCTACACACGATTATCGTAATTTTTTGCGCAAAAATGAGTGATACCTGGCACTATGACAGCCATCGTCAGAACTTCAAAAGGCTTCAAGCGTTTTCTGCCAAGCGGTCATGACAGTCGTGTTCAGGGGACAGAACTAACCCACGACCGGAATTTGGCCCGAATCTACGTCCACGAAAAACTTTTGAATAAAATTCTCCGTGACTTTAGAACAATGGGGCAGAGTGGGTAGAGGAGTACGAACTTCTCTTTACCTACGGTGAAGGCTTCCCTGGTAACACCTGCAGATTTCAGTACCCAAAACGTTCCCAATGGAGAGCCCACCCCCTCACCTATCTCTGTCTGGGCCAAACTACGCACAACACCACTTCACTGTAGTCGTGGTATCAGAGCCGGAACGATGGGGCAATTACGACGATATACGCAAACTCTCCCACAACTATTGATTGACATGGGAACAAGCAGAATTGATCAATAAATGGGTAAATTCGATTCCACCGAGGCTACGGAGGGCTTCGCCCCAACCGGGACGAAATTTCGTCCAGAAATTGTTTACAAGGATGCCTTTTACCCAGGTTATGTCGGATCTTCAACCCGCTACTCAAGAATGCTAAAGAATAGCTGGGTCACAGTCAGGGGCACGTCCCCAGCGAGTGGGGACGTGTTTGGTTGCTGAGGGGAAGAGGGAGGGAGAGGGGGGAGGGTTGGTACTTGCCTTTGAGAAAAATCTTCCCTATTGTTGTCTTTTCTTGGTAGTTCTTGTTTCATCTACGCTATACACCTGCTCGACGGACAATTTCTTGGAGAAAACGTGACAACGTGTAGAATTTTTCGTTTCGAAAAAAATTTCGGGGAGCAGCTCGTATCAGAGCAGGAAATTTTGAAGGAGGATCACATTTTACAAGGATTCTCCCCTACGGCAGGAGGTGTGCTTACAGTGGAGAGCAATGTTCTGTTTCCAAGTTGTGGCTACCGTAATCCTACAGTATTCCACCCTCCCCTAGGCAATTTCCTCATCCGCGACCTCATCCAATGGACGCGTGAACGTCGTCCCTCACTCCGCTCAGCTGTGAGGAGGTTACAAAAACGAATCGATTGCGTAACCTGCTGATGGTAAGTGTCGTTATGTCGTCCATTAAGATGACCCAAGCAGACTAATCTCACTCCATACCGGTACCCCGTAAACAGCAGAGCACTCATAGATAGCGCAGCCTCCTGGGAAACGCAGACGACCCCTTCAGTTCGTTCCCCCATCCCCTTAACCCTCTCACGCCTCTAACATCTCTTATGCACGAGAATACAGCTCATCATCGTCCGCTTCAGTTACCGTAGCGCAATCGGGCTTACGTAACGGTCACTGGAATGCTGCCAGTCTTTCCGCAGACGACTTTCGATCCTCAGCCATTCACCTACAACCCTTACGGCTACACGTAAGTCTTCATAGCCCATTTAAGGGGGTCTTCATGCTATTTCACGCATAATTTCCTTTCAGAGTTCCATTTGCGACTAACTACGGTACTCCAGCCACTACGGCCGTCGCTCCTGTTCAGCCTTGTTCTGCTCCACTTTATTACCAAGATGCTGTTTATGCCAAATCTTCAGCTTCATCATGCAGCAAGTCGGAGTCCGATTTGTCCTCCGATGAAGCTTACAAAAGGTTCGTGGAACAATCTGGGGCGCAGTTCGGCTTGGTGGGGGCACCGAATGCCATTGAGCTGAGCTTGTACAGGTCACCCTGTGAATACCTTTGAATCCTGATACCGAAGCGGTTCACTCGCAATTTCGCTGCCTTACAGAGTTTATAGGACTCCCAAAAGAGGGACCTGTTAGTTAGCATGCACTATTAACAACATGAACCAGTGAAAGTGCTCAATCCCCCTCCAAGCCGAACAGCGCCCAATCTCAGAAATCATTGATTTTTCTTGTATTGCCCACTGGATGTTTACCTTTCCAAACCTTCAATCTATAGAATCCTACAACTCAACGCATGTTACCTACTTTTCTTGACATCTGCTTTTTTTTGGTTAATTTCCGGATCTCACTGGACCTCTCTCGTAATTTCGCCCTTTCTGGGCTAGGGATATGGTAACACTGGCCCGGATCTCTGACCATTTTACTGGCTACTTACTGTTAGCCTATACACAGCACAGAAGTCAGGATAAGGAAAGATTGTTCCACCCTCTGGAACCAGGACACTGCCAAAATTTACCGCTAAAGCTCAAATTTGCTTGGAGCGATCCGCGAAAGGGCTTCCTTCATGATTGCTGAGATCTCGACAGTAGTTAGTGCAGCTCTCTGCCAGTAATTAATCATACTTTTCTAACTTCCAAAAAGGTGTAGAGTCGATTGGGCACATCAATTATTGAGGACCTCTCGCAAGCGAGGGTGGGGAGAGAGGCACTTCGTGCGTGTAGATAGCCCCAGGGAGACTGTCCTTACTTGGTCAACTTGGAGAGAGACAGAGGCGTAATGTCTCCTTGAGGAAAATGCCATTTGTTGGTTGTCGGCTACTCTTCGTTTTTTTTTCGCTGTTTCAGATGCGCTATAAAGATCGGCGTCCCAGCTCCCCACGGACGATGGCTTGTTTTTGGGAGAAAAACCAACAGAAATAGGCACAGCGTTCGAGTGGGATTCCGCTATGGGGGTGGGTCCGTATCTTGGCCGTCCAAAAGAGGGGGGGTCGTACTTGTTGGGAAAAATTATATTTTTCTAGTTTAATTTTTTCTCGTCCCTTGCGGACGTTTCGAGAGGGGGGGGCCTCGTATTTGCTCATTGTTGGAGGGGGGGGGGTTCGTTAAAGCTCATGAAACCAGAGATCCCCATCGTAATTTGGTGCCTGAAAGAAATTCTCCGGAGTGCAAGAAATTTTGGTTGGAAAGAAGTGGTAAGGTCAAAGTGAAGACGGGGGGGGTCTCGAATCAAATAATAAAACCTTAGGGGGTCGTATTTCGTATTCTCCGAAACGACAGGACGTGGCCTGGTTAGAGGGCAGCATTGTCTTCGTCAAGGAGAGACAGACCACTTCCTTGAATCCGTCCCTTCCCAAACAAGATTAAGCATAAAGGAGGATATAGGCTAAGCTGCAGATTTTCGGTCTAATGGTAGCGGTGGGAAATCGGCAAACTAAACTACGCTTTCGAACTCCACCCCACCCCCGCTCCACGCCCCTCTCCGCGAAAATCGCATAGCTGATCAGTACAAGTTTTCATATGAATATTACCTACATTGGTAAAATAATCGGATTATGAATAAACGTGAGAATTTTTTGAAAAGAAAAAATTTGAAATTTGTATCCCGTTTCAGATGTACTATTATATAGAGACACTGATCGATTAAGTTTTGAGTTTCGATTGGGCAAAGAAATGCAATCTGGATACTAAACCGGTGGACGGAAAAAGTAGGGATCGTGCCTGAATGGAAACGTTATTCGTATGAAGTAGCGTCCCAAATTGGGCATATATTTTTTTCTTGGAAGAAACATACGCGTGGCCCTAGCTGAACTTTGCAATATAATGACCGTCACCGGTATTATCAGTTCTCTCAAAGAAAACAAAATGACACGTGGGCAATAACTAAAGCTTTGCATGTATGATCCCACCATATTATCGTTTCCCCACGGATAAGCAGAACGACCAGTACATGGCGCACACCAAAAATGTTGGGATTCACTTTGATCTTCACCATGTGACCCATTTATACCTTCGCCAATATCGCCTCTATTTCAGGAAACGTGAGAAACGTGATCGTAACAACCAAGCCGCTCGAACGTCACGACTTCGACGAAAAGCTCGCGAAAGTCATTTGCTGAAGGAAGCCGAAGCTCTACAGCAGGAGAATGAAGTGCTAAAAGATGAAGTCGGTGAACTGAAGAAGGTATTCCTTGGAGTTGATCCCATAACAGAATCGTATTGACACTCCATATCACGAAGATGGAGGGGCGTGGCAGCGTAATTCAGTTGAAAATAGCGGAGGCTGCGACTTTGGTTAATACTGCGGCTCTGGGACAACTACATATGGTCATGTTTTCGCCCAGCCCAAAACTGAATGACTCAAGTGAAAATAACCCCACCAAAAAGGCATCCTCATGCTTGAGTGAAGTACGCAGCCACACCCACTCCATTTTCAAGATATGGAGTGTATTTGGCTGGATTCCAGGTACTCTACACTCTTCAAGACGAAGTCAGAAATCGGTTCAACGTTGTCGACGTCGAAAATGTGGAAAATGTCATAAAGTATGAGAATGTTGACTATACTTTCCATAATCAGAATCTATAAATTACGGTAGCCAATCGATTGCCAGCCAGTTCAATATTTTGTAATGCGGTTTCCAGAACGTTATAGTCTTCGGATGTATCTCATTGTGTGCGTGTGTGTAGTTTCGGTTGTGTACAGGTTCCATTGTATTGCTAATTTGTAAATGATCAATAAAATTAAGATTTGAAAAGATTTTGCCGATATTGGTAAGATTCCAATTGATATTGCCGACAGAAACCACGAGAGTATAAACATGCTTCTCTAGGAATATCAGCTATTATAGTATAGTGATAAGGTTTCTGAGCTCACCACACCAAGCCGAAGAGAGCTACGGTACTGCTAGTACAAGACAGCCATTTGGGATGCGCATTGCAGCCGTATTTCACTTCCAAACGAACAAATGATTGAAGGGATATGATGCTGACAATGAGAGAAGCAAAGTCTTGTGCCGATTCGGATCAGCGCAGCGCAAATACGACCCCGTTGTGATTTCCATTATCGTTGTGGAAGTCACAGCGGGGTCGTATTTGGATGCTGGGGAGGCATATTTCACCTCACGCGAGTTTTCCGCAGTTTATTTTTCCGTTTCATGCACTTGGGCGCTTGCATACCACCCTCCCCCCTTGCTCAACGGCAAAATTTTGGGAAAGAGTCGATGGTAAAAAAACGGCAAGAAGCAAGGTAAGTTGCAAAAGGGGGAAAAAGGGAGAGGAGGGAAAATTGGCGGGTCATTCGAAAGAACAAATTGTACAACCTTTTGATGTGCCCTGAGTTGGGCACCACAGCATTTTCATGACTGCTATGCTCTTCCTGTGCTCCGACTTCCGTTTTTCGTTGTTGCTAAAAGTAGAAAACGAGTTGAATGCATTGCTGCACTGCCTGCAAGGCTGTATAGAAACGTATTCGTAACAACCAAGCTACTCGAACGTCACGACTTCAACGAAAAGCTCGTGAAGGTTATCGCTGGAAGAAAGCCTCACGACTCGCCAAGAACTACAGCTGCTTTGGTCCGATTTCCGCGCTTATCAACCTTCAAAGTTGTTTCGACTCAGAACATCCCGAAAAGATTACGTTGTGGGCACAAACAGATGCCCGAGTTTCCTTCTTATGACAGGTCGCTGGTGATGTAATGTTGTAGACTCGTAGGAAATCAATGATGATGAGTGCGTAATAAAACATGAAGATTATTGAAATCCCAGATGGCGACTCCTAGAAAGGGGTTTCTATGAAAGATACAGGGACCGCTGGGTTCCCCACCGATTCTGCATGATGCAGAATCTGTGAGAAACCCAGGGATTTTCTAAGCGGAGGTGGTCTAGTGGCAATTATCGCCGCTTATCGCGCGCGGTTCTTCGATCGAATCCCACCCAAACCATCCCAGCTTTCCACCCTTTGCGGACGGTATCTCGTTTGAGGGAATGAAAACACTGACCTGTACAGTGCCCGACAACGCGCAAAAGCAGTGTTTCAGGCCATATTGGCATTCAGTATGCATTGGCGATTTGAACGGGAGTGAGAATGCGTGGCGCATTCCAAAAGGCTTGAGGGATCAATAGGAAGACTGATCCTTTTTATTGATCGGTCCTATGGATGGACTTCGCTATCCATGGATTCCAATTTTCATACCATTTGCTTATGATATTGCTCTGTAGAAGAATCTTGCCTTGAAACTATTACTCGAAAATTGAATATAGTGTTATTGTCGTCGCCATCAGTGCGAGGGGCCAGTTTCAGGAAGCCTGGAAGACTTCACTCCGGCTTTGTTTTTCTAGACCAATACCAATAGGTTTAGGATGGAAACAACTAGTGAGAGAAAACACCGTTGGGTGGACTGATTCGATGCCTCGTGAAGGAAAACATTCGCGTTAAGTTCAATTCGGGCCTCCTTACACCGTCCCTAGTGATAGCACGATATATCTAGCAAGAGAGCACAGAACATGCCCTCAACGTCGTTTTGGCTTAGAGGAGGGGGGGGGGCGCAATTTTATGCCCCAACTCCCAACGTCGGAACTAGCCATTCAGGGAAGGATTGAAGTAAATCTTTGAACCATAAAGTGATACCATGAAGTAGAGGCTGCCAGTCAACTCTTCTAAAGCAATGAACACGACGATGGGAAGTAACGAAAGTGCAAAAGGATCCACCCACGGCCGAACTGGCGCCGATGCTGGCATAAACTCTGACCATGCTCTTCTAACCAAGCTTGGTGGTGTGCAGTGCTACTGGAATCGGACCTCAACCGGACAAAAACTAGTGACTGCTGGCTACTCCCTGCATGGTATCAGATGCACTGACGCGCCTTTTGACAGTAACTTGTACACTATAGTGGCGCCGGCCAGTAGTAATGTATCAGGCTCGGATCTGCCTTAACAACACCCCACTGATTTGCTATGGCTCTGATATAACAGACATCGCGCACAACGGTTCCCAAGATGGCTTTGCGCTGAACTGCCGTCGCTTGCACTGCCATGACAGAACCTTAGCAAGCTGTTCTCTCTATTTGCTCACCGCGTTCATTTTGCAGAAGCTTGAGTATCACCCGTACTCGAACAGTCACTGGGTTGGAGTCTATGGTGCCTCGGCATCGAGTAAGGAACCTGCTTCATGTAGAGGCTAGGCGACCTCACTGTGGCCCCCCATCGGCCCCATCTCAGTGTACTCCTCATTTCGCGCACTCTACTCGTTGTTTCGCCGTCCAGTAACGTACTCTCTCACGCGCCATGTCCTCGTCTGACCCCGCACGCAACGCCATTGGCTTGTCTCACTTGGCGTTACGCAATCGTCGCGTACGGCTTGCGTAATACTGTAATTCTATACCAATCACTATGCTGCCAGCTTTTGCTCCACAAGCTTTTGATCCACATTCGTTCTACACGCCCTATGCCTACGGGTAAGTTCTTGACTTTGAAGTTGTTATTCTTGTGAGGTACCCTTCACGCCTCTTCCCCTCTTCGCTCCTCCTAATTACCATCTTCCTTGCCTCAGGTACCTTGTTAACCTATCCCACATCCCGATGCCCTCCCATAGGCAAGATTCTCTCGAGTTAACCCCATAATTGCTTAATTTCCAGCTCGTCGTTGACTACCTATGGCACTCCAGTATCGTCGATGCCTCCGTCGTACTATCAGGACACTCCATCCTACAACAAATCCGAATCGGACTCTACACCTGAAGAAAAGAAAAAAGACCCAATGTCCGTGAGCACAGACGCGACACACGACTGGACGTCGTCATCGCAGATTTTCCTTCTTTTTAGGATTTGTTTCTATTTAGCACTGCTTTTTACCTTCACAGATAAGCGTTTCAGTGGCCGTTTACGGTATCGTCATGGTATGTTTAGTGAGTTAGAGAGGAATGAGAATGTGACAGAAAAGTGCCCTTATGGTTAAAGATAACAAAGAATAATAGTATTTGATTGAAATTATCGACTATCGGTCGCAAACCTAGTGAGAGCAGTGTATGAGCAGAGCGAGCTAGGGTCTCACCAAGTACCATGACCTCATGCTTATCTTTCCAGGTATCTCGCCAAGCGTCATAAGAATAACCTAGCCGCACAGAAATCACGGAAAATCAGGTCAGCTACTCTCAATTTTGGCAGGCGGCGTCAGCCTATACTCCGTATATTTTGTAGAAAATACTGTACCCACAGGAAACAGGTTTCAGAATCTTCCGGAGAAACATAGGCGCCTCTGGATTCATTTGAAACACAAAACTTGAAGGAATTTCGGGACTCCCAAGCAACTGACATCTCTCAGTACTTTTCAGGCGACAACGAGAAGAGTCGATCACGAAAACCGCCGAGATGCTTCGTGCAGAAAATGACAGTCTGAAAAGTGAAATCGTCCCCATTACGAGAGGTCGAGTCTTGGGACCCGCAGATACCAATTTCCATCAGAAAACATAATCCCTCCCACGTAGAATTCGTTTAAACACAGTCCCGCGGGGGGGAGGGGGAATGGAACATGGCTTGTTCTGCTGAGGGCGCAGCATGGCCTGGTAATAACTCTACCAAGGGATGTGACTTTCTTGGCAAGAATAGAAGTTTCGCCGGCCGTTCTTTTCTCTCTAATCGCTCGATTGAAGTTTTCCGGTAATGTAAAATGTTTGGAGGAAGACTGAATGTTGAGTGAGGTACAGATTTGGAGTGAGATTGGCAATTTTGGGTTTTGGATCGTATGCTTTAGTGCAGCGGTAGCTGGAGAATAGTAAAAGCTATTGGGCCAAACCGACAAATTTCCTCGTCGCCATTATACACCGTGAATCCGATCAGGGTGCGTTGAACCTTGGTGATCCCAGCGGTATCTTGACGCTGGAGGGAGGGAGCAGTATTTCTTTTTTTTTTTTTTTTTTTTTTTTTTTTTTTTTTTTTTTTTTTTTTTTTTTTTTTTTTTTTTTTTTTTTTTTTTTTTTTTTTTTTTTTTTTTTTTTTTTTTTTTTTTTTTTTTTTTTTTTTTTTTTTTTTTAATTTAGGATTGCTGCTCTCTTTCGATTTTTCCCTGTTTCGAGTGCGCTTTGCCTCGCCCCGCCTTCTCCCCCGATGTTATGAAAACCAAGTAGGAATTTTCGAAGAGAACCCCGGAAGAGGTGAGAATTGGGAGAAAATTTTGGAAGATGGCAGGTAGATGAGGGCTAGGGGAGGGGTTTGTACCAAAGGAGGAAATTTGGAGGGTTGCCGTATTTTGCGAAATTCTCCCCTACGATAGGACACACCCTGATTAATGATCGTCTCACCTACTTATAATGAAAGCCTTGGATTCTTCAAGCTGACATTTCACAGAAACATTTTCCTTTTTCAGCGTAGGCGCGGCAGAACATCGTGAAAATAGGCCCGAATGGATTAGTTTGTGTGGATTTAGTGAGAGTTTAGAGATACTGATCGGCTTAGGGGGGCGCACCCAGTATTTTTGTTAAATCTATTTCCTATTTCATTTCAAGCATCATGTACTACATTGGTAACACCTGTAAACAGTTGTGAAACAAGACATTAACTAGGACCTCTACAGGTCGGCAAGTACCTTATGGCGTCCCCACCAAGCCGAATTGCACCAGAGTTTCCTTTCTGCTCCAGCCAATTTAGGAAAACCTTTCCCGCCTTGATCCAATTCTCTTTACATCATTCTATTCTCTCCATAAGTTCTGTCTTTGGCACCAACACCACTACTACACAGGACCCCTGCCGCACAGTCTATAGTTGCAAAGAGAAGCTCATTATCGCTGACGGAGGCATAACTTTAAAAGGTCTATGGCCTTCGCGGAAGCAGGGTGGGGGTAGAATATCAGTGTGTGCGACTCTTGTTAAAAGCCACCCATTTCCAGATGATCACCGATCTTCGAAAACAGCTCAGTTCGACTTGCCAGGCACCGGCGCCAACGGAGCCTATGCGAGACACAGCGAACATCACTCGACCAGATGCCTACATGCCTTACCACACGTTCCAGATTGGCTTTTCTATCAAACAGCCAATTATAAAGCCTTCACTATCTTGGCTCAGCGGCACCGGTTCTTCACCTACGGATGCATCTTTCGGGTTCAACGCATCCACAAATTCTCGGATATGGTCACTCCGGCCATCTCGCTAATAAATATATTTACATCACTCTAACGATTTTCAGAGAAATTCTGTGTATATAATTGAAAATGGTTGTGATTAAGTAGTTGCGGTAAAAGCCTAGGAGCGCAGTTCGGCTTGGTGGGGCGATTTACTAGTTCCCATCGATTGCCTGTTCTTCCGTCCATGGCTCCCGTTTGGACCTGTAAACTCTTGTGAAGCTATGCAACCGCGCCAGCTTTGGTCTTATTTGATAAGATTTTACAGGTCTCAACAAGATGGAACGTGTAAGTTAATAGGAACCAGTAGAAGAAGGCAAAGTAAAAAGCCCCCTCCCCCTCCTCAAGCCAGACACCGCCAGATATTAGTACCGTAATAAGAAAAGCGCTCAAAAGCACTCTGGATTACTGTAGTACGAGGTCTCCCGCTATGCATGCGCGATACGCACGACGACCTGGGACTACTTATGTCAGCTATTTATTGCTGTGTTTTACGCTTCCCAGGAGGTTTCGGACGGTATTGCCTTTTCTTTAACGCCGCATCTCCTGCTCTCTACAGTTATCCCTCCTGCGATGAATGATTCGCCTGGTGCGGATTAGGCCTTGGACAACTCTGGGACAACTTGGTATGGGCACTTCTTGGCGGAGAAGCATCACATGTTTCTGAACACGCTGCTTGGCGTATGAAGAGCAGCTCGGTTCAACCTCTGCCACTCAAGGGTAGCGATAATTTTTACGTCGAAAGGACCGTTGATAAACAATAAATAATATAAGTAATAGTAATAGTTAATAAATTGTCGTTTTTCTCTAGGTGAATAATTGTTCACAAAATAAATAAATATGTATGCAACAAGTATGTTTACAGTGATTATGTTCACGAAAATGAAACTTTTTCTCTCTCGAATCTTTCCAATTGCGCTGCCCTCTGCTGGGAATTGGCTTCGAAAAAAGGTTCAGGTGCTTAGTGTTGATTAAACCTCCGCACAACACATTTGGCTCCTCTTCCGGAGCTCAGAGGAATTTCAGCGCATATTCGGCCCAAAGCGGGATTTATCGGGACTGAAACCCCGGTGGACTTGATGCCAAACGAGTTTCTTAAGTGAATAGCGTAGCATGGTCGCAGAATACGTTTCCTCTGTAAAAGCTGACGCTGCTAGGCCTCCGTTCCCGTTACGAACAGGACAGTTGGTTAGTCAAACGTTCGCACAAATCCTAGGTATCCGGCTAATCATGGAGATCTAGCTTCTGACTGACTCTAGCAATGATTTGTGTGGATCAAAGGCATTTCTCAGAGAATCTTGACTATTCTCCGAGGCGCAAGTTTCGGTATGGTGGGACACACCTATTGGTACACAGTGATGCTTCTGGTGCGAGATGACTTGGGAAGGAGTGTCAGTTTTCGTGCAACCAAGTGTCTCACTTGTACCATCGCAGATTCACAAGACATCACAAGATTCATTGAGGCGATACCTGTGGGTAGCATGAAATATCAAAAAAATAAAACTAGCGGAATTGCAGGTGGCCCCCTCGCACTAGGCCGCAAAGCTCAATTCTTTTTTGAGATTTTGTTGTATCTTTGGCAACTTAATAACTTTTATCGACCAACAAGCAGCCGCTCACTTCTACTTTTCTCAACTACAGTAATTGGAAGACGCAGCAATTGAAGCGCATTTAAAATTGATCATCTTGGACTACTTTGTCAATGTCAATGCTCATCTGGCAAAGCTTACTTTCGCGCAGACAAATGGTCATCCGAACAGGAGACATGTGCCACACAGTCACGTACTCTGCGGGAGCGTCCATCGTCTGACTATCGCTTCTTTCGGGCAAGAAAACTGCATCAACAAAGAAAAAGTGCTGATGATTGAAAACAGCTTGACAGGAGCTAGATTATCTGACCTCTGCTGCGCCGCCAGCCACACATGTTTTTGAGTTCTGGGCTGATAGTGCCGTAGTTCTAATGAAGTTGGTGATCGTGGTGCTCATTTGTGCTGCATGTATATCTACGAGGCAATATGAAGAGAACACGAGGGATACGGGGAGGGGCGTTCAAAGGACCAATTGTGAGCCAAAAATTCGCTGAGATCACGAATAATTGCATTGCATCCTAGATTCTCTCAAAATATTGAAGTTGAAACGTGGGTAGCGGATGTGAGTATGGGCGCTAATTCTCTGAAAAGGGTATTCAAGCTCTTGCACAAATAGAGTCACCGAAATAGTTTAGCGGTTTGCAAAGCGCTGTTCGGGTCGGAGAGGGGCATTATGCAAGTTCAAGAGTGCGCTTTGCTAGTCCATGTTAGCTAACAAGTCTCATTTTGGTGAGACTTGTAAACACTTGTAAAGCTGCAAAGTAGTACAAGTGAGCCGCCATGCGTTTCAGATGGCCATGGTTGGCCTGCTGTAGGCCAATTCGCTAGTACATTGGTAGCCCCACCACGTTGAACTGTTTCTGGGAAGCAGCTTGATGGGCGGGGGGGGACAAGGTAAAATAGGGAATCATATTTTAGGTCAAGGCTAATCGCCAATTTTGCCTGACGGAATCAATTCGAATCGCCTCTCCAAGTCACTGCCTATCCGTGAGGAGTTTTAGTTCGCTTGGAACATAAGTGATTTGCCTGAGTAATCATTCGAATACCCCTTCCAAGACTACTGCCATCCGTAGGAGTTATTGCTTGGAAATGTGTGACTTTTCCGCAAAAGGAATACCTCTTGAGGAAGAGTTACGTTCCAATCCCTTCTCTAAGAAAAATGAAAGAAAAACTAGCATGTATAATGAGAGATCACAAGATTCGATCAAGATAAATCGCAAGTTGTTTCACACAGACCAGTGGCTTTCGGGATGCGCCATACATTCTACTCCTATTCGCGATTATTGAATGTATGTGACGTCCTTACAGTAGCCTCTGAAACGCTATAAACTCGAAATTTTTTATGCTTTCGAACTACTATGGGAGTGAATACTGTACTCAACCATAGAGAATGGAGAGCTCAACCGTCACGGGTGAAATTCTACTTGGACTGATCCAGAGATTATGCGCGGTTTAGATAACCTGCTCGTCACTACCTCACACTCCATCCAATGCTCCAGCAGCATTCCCTTTCGTCCGAAAACGAAGACGTGAGTTGTGAGTAAGTAGTAAGCTTGAGTCAGATGTAGCTCCTCTTCGATCCCCAAGCCCTTCGTGCTTTTTCAGCCTCTTAAGGGAGCGGAAAGAGCGCGACGATAGATTGACATGTGGCAGTCGATCATTGTTGACCGCTGACCACCCCGCGACAGAGTCGAACTCCTTCCATTGAGTGCCGCACCCCCCAAGAACCACTACCGGCTCCTCGTTTGCGGACTTGAACGAGCAACACTCTCAAAGGATACTTGACGCTTATTTCTGGTCGTCTTTGAGGAAGCTCACCTTCTGTCAACTATTATTTTAAACCTATTCATCTCGAAATATTCCAAAAATTACTGCGATATCGGGAGAACCATCGATGATTTGAAGGCTATGAAGATTCCATTACTCATTCTGGTATTATTCGCTGTGTCGCCGAAACCAGGCAAGTCTTCAAATACTCGCGTTTCCTTCTTTTCTTCTGGCACCTGCACGAGTTCTGATTGACAACTTCGAGATGCAGTATTGTTCCCGCTCCCCCGTTCGTTGACAAGTGAAATATTCCCAGAAAAGTGATGGACGGGTTCAACGAAAACTGTAGGCGTAATAATTTCGTCTGTTCTTCTGAAAGCTGTCGGGAGATATTTGAATTTAGAGGGGATCTGTTCACTGAACAAAACTTAAAACAACTAGTGATTGGTATTCTCGTGGATTCCTATGGTAGAAATCGAAACCGGAAATTATTATAAAAAAGTCATGGTCCGTCTCCTCTGGTAAAGGCACTCTGCTCAAAATAGAGCAGTAAAAAAGCTTTACGATGTTAGTTGCAACCATAGCACGTCGTACGTTGGGATCCCTAGCGAGGGGGTCGTATTTGGTTGTTGGACGGAGCGTGGAAGTACTTGCCCTCGAGGAAAATATTTTCTGTACCTTTCTTGTTTTTTTCAGTCTCAAGTGGGCAATACTGCGCTATGTACCCACTAGCCCGCTCTTTTTGGTGAAGAAGTGCAGGAATTTCTAGAAAAAAACCTAAGCAAACTCCGGGAAAATGGTGGGAAGTTGGGAAATTTAGGAAGATGGGGAAGATGAGAGATTGTATGGAAAGAAGTTGGCATGCTAGTTGCAGCATTAGTATATGTAGTCATACTCTCTTTACTCTTCTAATCCTAATTATATCAATAGGAAAAAATTGACTCAGCAAGATCACACCCCATTCCTGTTTCACAGCTGCCTCGTGCACGACCTTTTCTCAACTAACGATCCAACATCTGCCTCCGATTTCCCAAGAGGATTCGTCTGAGCGGAGGTATCAGAAAAAAATATTTGCTCTTTTCCAGATTCCATGCCCTTTTGCGCTAATATTGGCCCAGTTGCGAACAGTAGGCGTTAATACCTGTAATCCATATCCCGGAGATGGGGAGGGTGTGGTTGCGCAATACATTAAAGCATGGCTGTGCAGCTCTTCTCATGGGATATTACCTGTCGGTACGATTGTAATCGTCTTTGTTCAGTATATAAACTTCAATTAAATGGATTTATCCCGCAAAAACCCATCCTCTGCTGTGTCAGCCAACTCCCCATCCCCCATTCCTGGGTTATGAGAATCCTTTGTTATTCTCTCCTTAATTCTTCCGATTCCTCTGTTACCCAAATCAGCCCGGATTTCTAGTCGTGAACTGAAACCGCAGCGCGCCTCTTGGAAACTTCTCTTGTATTCAGCAAGGTCGGCTCTGAATGACCAAGGTCTCTTATATTCACTCACAAAATAGAAATGATTCTATATCTCTATTTGAGCGGTTTTTTTTTTTTTTTTTGTGCTTTTGGAAAAAAAAAATCAAAAATCAATTTTATTATTAATTATTCTATCTTATTTTTATTGAATAAGCAATCTCAGAGCAGTATTTGTGAGCCTCTGTCCTCTAGCCTAC